CTGTTTAATAAACAGCCAAATATGCTATTTCAATTAAAATTTAATATAAAAATTTATTTCTTGGCCCTCCCTGGTGGCGCAGCGGGTTAAAGCACAGCACTGAGAATCTGAAGCCACTTCCGCATGAGTTCGATTCCCGCCTGCCGCCTGCCCCGGAGGAGACCACATGGCGAGCCAGACCTCTCCTGACCCGCCCGCTGCTCCCCTCAGCAGTGTACTTCGTAGATCTGCCTGTTCTGCTCCCCGCTCTGTCTCTGGTGAGGCCTCTCACCGTCCCTGAGCCTCTGGCCTGTACCCCAGTTCTGTATGAATAAATAAATAAATCTTTAAAAAAAAAAAAAAATTTATTTCTTCTTCTTACTTGCCACATTTCTTCTATTCAACGACCACATGTAGTTGGTGGCTACTGTATTGGAAAGCACAGTTCTATTTAAATGCTCTGGAATAAATAAACTTTTTTAGAATATTCTTTATATTACCCAAGAAAAGTATGAACACTTACTGAGTATCCCAAGAGTGAGACTTAATGACATATCATCTAGAGCCATCCAAACACACTGAAGCAAAAGAGGGCAGAAATACTACATTATGTTGATACACCCTGAAGGATCTTTGTGAAGTCTCAGACTAAATATTGGGCAAGAAAAGCCTACATCTTCTAAGATTCAACTTCAAGATGAAGATAAAGACCAAAATAATAGAAAAGAACGAAAGAGGAAAGTGGAAGTCCTCTTACTTTTAACATGGTGCTTGGAATATTAGAATTTTTAACTTATCTGAATACATGCTACTAGTAAATAACACAGGCAAATTGTTCAACCCTATCTTTCTGCCTGACAGCAGTCTCAGCAAATAAACATTGAATTCCTAGGTACACACTGTGAAAAGAAGTCTTGTTATAATCTAATAAATAGGTTTCGATTCCACAACAGCAATAACCAAATAGATGGAAACACTATAATAACAAAAAATGATTAAGTATTAGGAGAGAATAAAAGAAGAATACAAAGAGAAAGACCAAGATTGTTTGGGAATTTGGTCTCAAGGTTCACATATACTGCTTCTAGCAAAATGGCAACAGAAACATTCCAGGAGATCAGTAAAGAGATATAATGAATGTTACAATCCATAGATTTTCATGGTGCTCATATAACAAGAGCTGAAATCTGCACACTGTATCATTTCAATTGTGAGAAAACAGGTGTTGAGACCTACCCAACACTTTGAAAAACAGACCTTGGTCTAGTGCTGTGGCATAGAGATTATCACTCTAATGGTCTGAATCTGGACACATCGTTTTCTTGAACTGCATAAATCTTAGGCACTCGCATGGCAAACTATGCCCATGGAACAAATGGAGAAGAGCACAAGAATTTAAAAGTTCAGCTAATAAACTTGCCTTTCTGTTCAAGCAACAAGATTTCTGAGCATATAGGGAAGTGAGTGAAGGAAAATTGGACTAGCTTTTATATATTTTTTAATTATATAAAGTGGTTATAGTAAATTAAAATAGTGAATTAAAAATATAGAATTCAGGGTGTTTTCTTTATAGAGAAGAAAGACGATATAAAATCCTTAAGCAGAAGGAAAGTTGACGCTTCCTTCTAGAATACTGGAATTTTAGATTTGGAAACTATATTATAGTTGAAAGATCAAGCTTTTAAAAGTCAGGAAATTCCAAAGTAAGCCTACAGCCATGCTTACTTGGACACATTACACATGGTACATATTTTATGGTCCATGTTTAACAAATAGTTGAAAGATGAAAAAAAAATTTCACATATTCAACATGGCAAAATAAATTCTATAGCAAAAAAAGAATATATTTTTCAGATGACCTGAACAATATTCCATTAAACTAATTTCAGCACTTTTTTATATTTAGAACAAAAGCTTGTCTCAGATAAAAATAAATAAATAAATGTATAAAAAACTGGGTATATCACCATCCTATAAATCTGAGAGGCGGTCCCAACACTTTTGGCAACTCAAAATACCCCATGAAACAAATGTTATTTCCTCATTTCCAGATCGTAATTTTCTATCTTTGGAACTTAAAAATACTTACATAATTATCTTCAAGTACAGCTTGACTTTTCTTCCTTGATGGAAACAGCATCTCTGCCAATTTTAGAATTTATAGCTACCACCATATTTTTTTAATTTTTAAAAGCACAAAAAATACCACAGCCCCTCAAAGTGATTTTGAAGTGAACATTTCTTCATCATCATAATTATCCCATGTCGCACTGAAAAGTACTACAACTCAGCATACAAATGGAAAGAACATTTATCTCCGAGTCTCAGTGTAAAATGTTATATTTGGAGATAATGCCAGCAACTAATAAGTAGTGTAGTGACAATCACTTTCCAGTCACTCTAAAATTCATAGCAAAGTACTGCATCTAGTAATCAAAATGTGTGAATGTGTATGACACTTTCTCGCTTTTACAGAGAAATATTTCATAAAACTTTATTATTTTGATCCACAAACAATCCTGAAAAGTACACAAGACAGGGATTATTTATGAATCCATTTATATATGGACACACAGAAAGGCTAAGTGACTTGAACAAACTCAGTGCTCACCAGTGGCAATTCCTAGAAATCCAGACTGCTGACACTTCCCAGACTTTCACTTAGGAGAAAGGTGAGGTGAGCAGTTTCAATTATGGGAAGTGTACAAAGTTGCTGGATTTTTAAAGAAGTCTGAGCAATGCTTCTTTTTTCTCCCAATATCAGAGAAGTCTATCTTATTGCTGGAAAAATAGGACAGTCACCTGGCAGTTAAAGAGAGACTATATCAAATGTCTGTATTTGAAAGCATTTACATATTCAAGATTCTTTGGAAACTTATCAATATAAAATTGTAGTCAAACAGCTTTTTAAAAATTTTTTATTGTTTTTAATATATTCATTATTTCATCCTTCAAACAGCTTTTGAGGTAAAAAAAAAACTTAAAATTTGCTGGGGAAGAAATAAACTCTAGTCTATTCTAAAATAAATAAAGGGGTAATTTGAGAAAAAAAGATTTCAATAAGAGTATGGAATAAAATTTAAATTGTAGTACTGATTACCCAGTATGTTCAAAACCTGACTCTTTCCAAGCTGATTTTGTCTTTGTCCACTGCCTCCTTTCTCCAGGATGCCACAAGGCAATATTGTAACATCCTTTTCACGTTAAGTTTTGGTGTCAAGTTTACATCAACATGTGCTACATTTTTATCGGAACCTAACCAGCATTTGTAATCAATAAAAGTCAACATTAAAGGCAGCCTTCCTGTTATTTCAAGTGACTCAAGGCTTTGTTTTTCTTTCAGATTCCTCAAAAAAAAAGCAAGTGAAGTTAATGGAGAATGTGTCAGTTTAAATTTTTACATGTGTTTCTTTATACTCTTCAATGATCAAGCAAGCTCCTAAAAGACGAAAACAATTTTTCTCTTTTATTTTTCCCCCATAGCAACTAGAGCTGAGCTTGGCACAGGCCACATGGAGTTCATAGACTGAGCTGAAAAGCAGACAGAAATTCCCAGGTTCTCCCTTCAGGCCTATGACAGGAGGTATATGGGAATCAAGGCAGAAGTGAAACATAGGAGAAGAGAGATAGGTAACACTTACCAGTCAGCCCCCTAAGAAGCAACTAGTTACTGAGGGAAAACGTGTTCATTAATAAGAAGGGAGGGGTGGTGCAGTTTTTTAAAGTGCATGTATTTTATACTGCAGAAGCAAAGAGCAGTGCAAGTGGTGGTATTCATGGCAGCTACAGGTCCCGCAAAATGCCTGTGGAACAAATACCCATCTGGAAGTTGGAGTGGGCACTACGGCCTAATAGACAACTGAGCAAAGGAACTGCCCTCTAAGAATGTTACAAAAAGAAAACAGTCATGAAAAACTATCTACTATCTGCACAGCAGCAGTAGCCAGTAGATGCAGAATAGATGTACACAACTAGGTAAGCCATCAGAATCACAGGCTTGTTTAGAATTGGACAGTTTTCTTGTAGCACACTATGACTTTCCTCCACAAAACAGTCTTATCAACCACTTGGGCAAATGTACAGTTTAGTTGAGATCACATGATCTATGTATGCTTTTCTTCTACATAAGGGTGTAATTAAATAAATTAGTTTGATGTTTTGTTGGCTTTCATTTTTTACTTGTCATTATTCTTGAATAATAGTTCAGATAACAGCCCATGGGTCCATTTATAGTTTGCATTTTACATATAATAGACTACAATTTATAGTCTTTTAGATATAACTGCATATGTCAATATGTGAAGTATATATATGAGCTATATATTAGACAGCATATGAAGCTAGAACCACTTTTATGCCACAAATATATTTCAGAATTAAAATCAAGATTCCTGGGGAAAAAAATCATTCCACTAAGCGGCAAGGAAAAATTGTGAGTTCGGGGTCTTGAAAATATCACATGATGACTAATCAACCAACTCTGAACACCTATGTGTAATGCCTACGGACAGTATCTGTGATACAGCTATATAAAACATATAGGACAGAAAAATGATACATAAACAAAGCTTTGAACAATATATACACTTTAAAAAGAGAATGTTCATCCAAAAATGTTATACAAAAGTTCATGAAGGACAATTTTTTAAAGGCCTTTATCTTCTGATCTAGGGATGTTGAAATATAAATTATATTTGACATTTCAAATGTATATGAGAAATTGTTCCCAAACATATTTAAGAGTGCATGTGGTACTGCTTATCTCTGGAAGTTCAAGTACAAACTGCAGCTCATCATCCAAAAGCAACGAGAATCTAAGACACATAACACTTCACAAGCCACAAAATAAAGGAACTGACTACTTTATGAGAGAATGTGGCTTTTGGTCATGAGGCCCAGATTTCTTCCTTAGGTGGACCCAGTTAATCATGCCATAGATCCTCAAAAGGTGGTGGGTGTTAGTAGAAATTCACAATGTTGTTCTAAACAAACCAGCAAGAGGAATACAGTAACTCACGTACTTTGCAAAGCCAATGAAATCTTCATGATTGGTGTTGATATAGGAGACTTGGATGTCAATCAACAGCAGTACCTGTCAGCCAAAGAAAAACACTTCAATGAAAACTAAAATATTCATAAATACCGGTTTCAGTGAATACCTACAAATTATTTATCTTCACTGAATTTTTAAAAGGATGCTATAGTTAGAAGGAAAATTTGCATTTTTTTCATTAGAGTCTTAATCTTCACTTAATTCACAAATTAAACATCATCAAGAAAAGTAAATCTGAGCACCACATGAAGACAACAACTTTGAGGCTTATAGACATGTACTCAACACAGAACCAAGAATTATTCTATTTCTCTAAAATGTAGACATGATGTTCTAAGGAAAGACATGTGTGTACAAGAAGACATGTGGCAGGAAGACCAGTTGGGGCTGCTCAGATCTTCCTTCTTCTGAAGGAATCAGGACACATTATCTCTTGTTTTTCCTTATCTCTTCTATCTCTTTAAACTCCTTCTGGGGAAAATGCATCTCAGAAACCAACTCAAAAAGGCAACTCAAATAAAAGTAGTTTCTATAGCTCCTAGAGATCAATAGGCTTCATCATCACAGCAAAACTTTAACAAGATATGTTAAAAGATCCCCTGTTAAAGTGATCCCCCTTGCCATTCCATCTAAATCAGTACTCCTGCTACTCTCTATCCTCTTACTTAGCCTCATTTTCCTTTATAGCACTACATCTAGCTAATATAGTAGGTTTCACATAATTCAATACAAAGAACCCATCTGCCATATCCACTGCTCCATCCCCAGTGCCTGGAACAGTGCCTGGGATATCAAGAACATACAATCAGATTTATCCAGAAATGAACTGAACACATGTTCCATTAAACGTGAAAATGTAGTCATAAGATATTTAAAAACTCTTAAGTTAGAGATTTGAAAGGTCCCCATGCAGAAAATCATCAAAGGCAGACAGGAGACTAGAGAGAAAATGTCATGGAGGGGAGCAACCAAAAGCAGATAACTTTGTTTGACAGACAATATTCAAAGCTAAGCTCCACTTCCAAAGTTTCCTTTTTTTTCCCAACTTTCCTAAATGCTGAGACTTGCTGGTAGAACTCCTTTGTTTTTGCTTTTGGTGAGAGACCTCTGAAAGGGATCCACCTCCCTTCACTGAAGATGAACTTGAGTGCATCACAGCACTTGTGGTAACAGTTGGCAGACATTCTGTAATGCGTGGGTATTCTATCGAAAAAGCCTTTCCTGATCCTCACCCCATATCCTCACCCAGGATATTAAGGAGTATTAAGCTTATTACTCACATATAACCTTAATATCATAATTACATTTTATATGTGGTGACTAGTTACTTATATACATTTTTGGTTGGCATTTCTCTTCCCTGCAAGACTGTAAACGCCAAAGAATCAATAATTATGTTTGTCTTGTTCACCATTTTATCTGCATAGTATTGATGTACTTAACATGTATCCACCCAATACGTGTCTATAGCTGTGGATATTATTACTATTGATGAGCCTTGAAGAACAATTTAAAGGGAGAAATGTATACCCATATAACTAGTATGTAGCCATTAATTGCTGCTTCTCGTTTACTATCCAATGCTACAGGCTCTTAGGCTTTGCTTTTATAGATAATCTCAGTTGGTCATCTGACAAAATCTTGCTGTGAGTCCCAAAGAGGCCTGCCAAAAGAGAGTAAATAGATTGCCCCGAATCCATTCCCACCACCAAACATGAAATCAAAGCACAGGAATTATTGGATCAGTAACATCATACTAGTATGAAAACATTTTGTATGACCAGATAGTTTAGTTTCATTTCTTAATGAACAAAGCTGAAGGAGGACAGATCATTATTAGATTATCTATTGCCTCTTCATCACTACAACAAAACCAGATCGCATTCAATGTTTTACTCCCAAATCCATTTGGCCAGGAGTTTGTATCAACAAACCATAATACTTAGGCACAAATAAATTGCTGCCACCATAAAGAGCAAAACATCTACATAATTCTCACCATTGCCAAAGGTTGTTATGAATATCTTGGACATTCACACACATTAACTTGGACTGCAGTATAGGAAAAAAAGAAAAACTATGGCTGTTCTCATTCATATTCCTGGAAACTGGGAGTCTGTGTTCATCCTAGGAAAAGAGCCAGGTCGCATGTGGGGGATGAAGAGGGAAAGAGTACATTTTTTCCTTATTTTTTCATTTTCTCAGAGTTTCTCACTGCCTTTTTCACTCACGGTTATTGAATATTTAGTTGAAGAAAAGTAGAGTCACCCTTGGGACCAGTAATCACCCACAAAGTCAGCCCTTCAATGTGCAATTACACATAGGGAAGCACCTGGAACAATAGCTGGCACACAGAGAAGCTTAAAAAACCTTTGTGTTACAAAAAACCTCACAGATAAATCTATGGTTTCAATATGTTTAATTCTGAAGAATACCCCTACCTCCCCCTGCAACAGAGTTCCCAGAGCAGAAGTTGGTAATAAATCCATTCCTTAAAAAGGAGAACTGCAAAAACACCTCAAGGTACAGAGGCCTGAGGAAATGGGTCACTGACTGTTCTGAAACACCGCACAGCCTGAAGACTCAGAGTTCGAACTCACATGTGAGATTTATACAAACTGACATGGTCACACTACCAAAAATGTACCATCCACACCCATGTTGGAAGTGACAACTACCAGCTTCTAAAGACAGTTGACCATCAGGTCAGGCTACCTGACAAAGACACTAAGAAGGGAAAATTCCACTGCATCCTTTACCTCTCACTAAGGGATGATTTATTCACTATGTTAAGTTGCAGATGGAAGACAACTTCCCTTGAAATCAAAAAAGGCAATTCTTTCTCTCTACTGTGTATCATAGCTTTTTAGGAAGAACAGAAACAAGTAAAACTAATGAAAAACTAAAAGCTGTATTTAGAGTATGTAATTCCACCCTCACAAAATGCATAAGAAGTTGCTCTCATTTTTATCTTTCTTTAAGAAGTAGAAACTGAAGTTCAAAGATGTCAAGTAACTTGTTCATTTTCACAGAAAGGAAATGGTAGTTTGGATGTGAACTCAGGGAATCTAAGCCCAAAACCCACAATCTCAACAGTGTTCAATTTGAGCATGTAGTTTTAATAAAAGAAAAACATGAAACAGGATGAAGTTCTGACTTAGATATGAACTCAAAGAGAATTAAAATAAGAATTATACTGGGCCCTCCCTGGTGGCGCAGCGGGTTAAAGCACTGCACTGAGAAGCTAAAAAGCCACTTCCGCATGAGTTCAATTCCCGCCTGCCCAAGAGGTGACCACATGCCGAGGCAGACCTCTCCTGACCCGCCCGCTGCTCCCCTCAGCAGTGTACTTCGTCGATCTGCCTGTTCTGCTCCCCACTCTGTCTCTGGTGAAGCCTCTCACCGTCCCTGAGCCTCTGGCCTGTACCCCAGTTCTGTATGTACAAATAAATAAATCTTTAAAAAAAAAAAAAGAAGAATTGTACTACTTTTTCCTCAATGTTGTTTTAATATAGGATCCCTGAGAGTTAAGTAGAGTAGATCATTATCTGAATTTTACAAAGACACTAAATTAAAACAGTTGTCTTATTTACGTAAGGGTAGGAGTGCACCTAAGTTTTGACACTGTCTGTGCCACTAGCCTCAGGCTATGTATTTGGCCCTTAGCTTGATTTCACTGGCTCATAAGTTCACAATTTGTTTATCTCCATTTTGTTACAAAACCTGTTTTCTGCACTTTTGACTACTGTGGTTATCCAAGACTGTGAAAACTGAAAACTAATGTAAACTATGAATCAAGGTTATAAACTGTTAAAGCATGATGGGGGAAAAAAAAAGTAGTAGCTATGAATTGCACAATTCAAGCAAAGAATGGAATCACTCACAACTGTCCCAACCTGCTGGGCCTCTATACATCCACCTCTTCACCTCCTCCCACCCCAGTTCACCCACCCACACCCGTGCATGTCACATGTGTTTCTCTCTTTATGGTCTTTCTGAGATCTCCCTATTTTATTTTGACTTCCTTCTTTTCTAGTTCTTTCTCTTTCCCCCTTTGCAACTCACCTGAGAATCACAAGATCTAGGAATGGATCTCTAACCTACAGTGGACTTCAGACATCCCAAGATTGTACATTCGAAAACAACATTCCAGAGAAGTGATTTGCACAAGAACAAACTGTTATTTTGTGGAGAATATATGGCTTAAGTCCAGTGTCCTCTCCCTGCTGTCACATTCCCAGCTGTGCCCTGGAATTGAACAGCATCTGAAAACCTTTGTGTTTCCCATGATCACGTTTTAGAAGTAATTAAGAAAAAAAAAATCCACTTAAATTGAGAGACTTTTACTAATTTTATGAAATCCTTAAGCTTTTTAATCAGTTATCTTCTTTTGAAATGAACTCTTTCAATTCACAGGCTGGTTTAGAAGAGCATTTCAAGACCATGCCTTATAAACCATCCATATGTACAAAATCATTAGAATTGTTTAAAAAGCTGTTTCTATATGTTTTCTCTTTCCAATCATGGTTACCATGGACAAGTTGATAAATATCATTGTCCATTCTCAGGAAAAGAATTAAACCGCTAAACATTTTCACGACATTTAAGAAGCTCAAGGGTCCATTACAAGTTAAAACTCTGTCTTAAAGAGAAAAATGTGATATCATTCTGTATTAGAGGTTTGCAAAGTGGCATGTACATACATGTTAGTGGTATACATTATGATCCACGAAGCACTGAGAAAAACATAATGGCACTCCTATTATGGCTTTTTTAAGTTTTATCTTTATAAAGTCTTTAACATTTGTTTATTTCTAGTATACATGATATACATAAGATGTTAATATAGCATAGTGACATATGTAGTATAAAATTCATAAGTAAAAATAAACACATGTTTGCATTCTCAGCTTTTTTTTTTTTTCATTCAGGGCTAGGCTAACCAGAAAGCCATGAGAGAATCTTTACTGCCCAAAAGGAACCAGCCCCCACTGTGGCCTCTCCATACCTGGTCCTTTGTCTTCCCTTCTCTCTCACGGATGTGGTTAGCAACTATCCTTTCTGTTTCCTCGCAGAGTCTGGGAAAGTTTGCCAACTGTCAGGAAAAACAGATTTGAGAGATAATTAATACTCAAAAATTTGCACCACACAAAAAAGGAAGCAGTTATAAATTATGATATCTTATAGAAAATAGGCACTATAATTCTGGAAGTAAAAATGAAATATTTTGAAAACCTAAAGAAAAATGATATAACACTGAAGAGACTCCAAGAACTATAATCAGAAGTAACTACATTATCTTAAAGAAAAGAAAAACTTCAAACCAGCAAATATTGTTCCTTATGGAGAAATTAGAAAACAAGATACCATGTAGCCTTTTGCTGTATAGAGTTGGCACTTAATAAAGTTCAAAGATGAGGAGGGCAGAAATAAGAATGAAAAAGATAGTGACTAACATTTATAATGTTTACCACATGCAAGCTATGAATGCACCTCATGAATCTCAGCCAGCATTCACAAGAATCAAAAGAAATAGATGACATTACTAACCCCATTTTATAGAGGAGGAAAGCAAAGCAGAGAGGTTAAATAACTTATTCAAGATAAAATAGCTCAAAATTAGTTGATCCATGATTCTAATCCAAGCCCTTGGACTCCAAAACCAATGGTATTATCTATTACTCTTTGGGGATAATTAATTCCATGAACCAGAGAGATATTTTTAATTCTCCCCTAACAGATGAGTGTATAGATATTTCTAGGAAAATTATTTTTTAAAAAATCAAGTCAATGACTTATCCCATCTAAATTAGGCAGATAATAGTCCAAGATGTAATTTATAAGTCAGTGGTTCATTACAGTTGGTTTCAATATAGAGAAGAAAATGAGCGGGATCCTTAGAGGCTGCATAAGGAGCTCTAATCTAGAACTAGTACTTACATGTAGGTGTGAGGGGAAAGACTAGGTAAGATGGATCTTCATATCATGTGTGATGATATAGGGTGAGGTTCAATGAGGTGAAAAGTGAAGCAAGATCAAAAGAGTGTGAAGAGACTTGGGACAAAACTAGTAAAATAAATAGGGGCAGATCAAGCATTGTCTTTGCTTAATTGTTAGGAATGCTGGTTACTGAAGCAATCCAGATGAGAAATAATGGGGATTTGGACTGAGACCATATAAGTGGGAAAAGTGGGTGTTTAAGACAGGCAAAGTTAATTCCAGTTATTATTTTTTAAAAAACCTGAAAATTAATAAGACTAACACCAAAATCTCATGTAAAAACAAGCAAACTACATGATTCAAAAAAATTAAATCAACACATAGAAGAAAAATAACTGGGCAAATGATCACAGTAATGCAAAGAAAGATAATGAATATTGTATTGACAAAGTGCTATATCTTTTTAAATTGTTTTTTTTTCTTAAAGATTTACTTATACATACATACAAAAGCTGAGATGCAAGCCAGAGGTGCAGGAGAGTGAGAGTATTCACCAGAGACAGAGTGGGGAGCAGAACAGGCAAATTGACTGAGATACACTGCTGAAGAGAGCAGCAGGTGAGACAGACGAGGTCTGCTGTGCCATGTGGGTAACCTCCCTGGCCTGGGATCAAACTTGTACTTTAGTGGCTGTGATAGCTTCATAGTGTTGAGATTTAACCCCTTGAGCCATCTGATAGGGTATATTTTTATAAGGCTTAATACTAGTGAAGATATACTGAAAATACAGTACAGTTTAAATTTGCTGATGTGGTGCCAATGAGAACAACCTTTCTGGAAAGCAATTTGGTGATATGTATCAAAACTCTCTAAAATATTTATTAAACTTTAATAAAATTTAATAAAATATTAAACTCTCTATAATAATTATTAATTATTATTATTTAAAACATTTATTAAATATATTCTTAAACTTGTTTATTCCATAGTATTCTGGGCAAAAAAAAAAAAGGACATCCATCACAGTATTACTTAGCAACAATAAGCCAAATAAATAATACTCTACAAACCAACTAAGTATCCAAGGATGTTAAATCAACTAAGGTAGTTCTATAATGAGTCATTCCAAATAATATCTAATGACATGGTAAAAAATTTTATAATATGACATGATTGAAGAAAATTAGGTTTCTAAGTATATAATGTGACCATACACACAGTGTCACAAGCCTCAGTATACCTTTGATATCCTTCAAAAATATAACTCAAAACTTTACAAATCCCTGAATTCTTTTATAACACATAAAATTTACCCAATCTTGTAGGTAGTTAGAACTAAAGCTCCCTGAGGTAACTCCATGGTCCCCTCGGTCGCTGTACAACCAATTTTATAACATGTGTGATGCACATTAGTCTTAGCAAGATATCAAACTACATTCTTTCAGAGAACTACCCTTGCAACAAACTACATATAAATATTGAATCCCATAAAGCTGCAAGTCTACTGTCTGCACACAGAAAAAGATGTACACAAGACTACAAAATTTTAACAGCAATAATCTTTAGAACGAGATTTTACATAGCTTTAATTTTTTTCTATATGTTCTCTACAGTTTCCAAATTTTTCTACAGTGGGCACAGAGTGCTTTCCTAATATCAGTAAAAAGCATAGATGCCTTGGTTGGCTCAAATATCACAGCCCAGTGTCTCCTCATGAGGTCACCAAACCATTACTCCCTTGTTGGAACTCTTACTGAATCTTGAGATATATGCTTATTTGCAGGCTTATTTCAAGCATAATTGCAAGATACAAATAGCACTTCCATGTCGAGTTTTGGATACATTCTCCAGGAAAAGTACTACTATCCCAGAAACCCCTTTTATGTTTTAAGAATACTGCCAGTTACTTTTCATGAGCTTTATAAAAGATATCAAAGATTGGAAGGGGTATTTGATTGGAACTAGTTCTTGTTCTTGACGAGAACAGCCTGCATAGTATATCTGGCACTCAACACTAGGCCACCGGTGGCCCCCAGAGCGATTCCTCTGCACTCATAGAGCTGCCAAGTTATCAGGGGATGGGTCTGTGCTCTCTGAGGACAACCACACTTACAAAGACACTCATTCTTGCAAATATGCAACTGCAGAAGCTACAGTGATTTACAGAGAAGGGTAAACCAATGTTACCTCCATTTAAAAATAAAATGACTTTAGAAAAGGGATGATAGCAAATCATTCATTTTTAAAACACCACAGAACTGCAATATAATAGTAATCCCATCTCCATTTTACATACTCTTATCTAGGATTGAACGTATTCGACAATGTAAGGATCTTGTTCAATCTAAAATCCTCATCGCCAACCTCCTCTCCCCCTTTTTATAAACTTATACATTTTTATGATGTTTTATGTTTTATGTGGAGGTCATACTTTGTCAATTATGTTGGTTTCAATCCTACAAAGTGTTCATATCTGCTTTAATAAAAGTCACTGGGAAGCAGGGAGTGGAGGCGGCTGCAACACTTCAGCCATGTTCTCAAGATAATAGTCTTAGCAAAAGACAAATATTCTTGAGTTATTTTTTGTTTTTTAAGAAAAAAAAAGGTTCTGAAGTGGAAATATCAAAATGTTGGGTTGAATTGCTGGTTGTTTGAATGTAATGTTTCAGCCCCATTTTTTCTCATAATGTATTTAAGAAGAAGGTGAAAAAAGGTCCTGAATTTTGATTAGGCTTTCTGCTACTAATTTCTTTAGTTCATTCACTAGAGTCCCTGCTCAATATGCATGACCTTTTACTTCGTTTTAAAAGATATTCAATTCTGATAGTTTGTTTTAATCCTTTACAGTGTTTTACTAAAGGTACATTTGGCTTCTCAGGTGATTTAAATCACTATAGCTATTAATCCTTTCATTTACGATGTTGAATTAAAGATCTTTAGCTATGAGATGTGTCTGTTTTGCGAAAATCATCAGAATTCTGATCATGTATGTTAAGATCATATTGATCTAGAATGCATCATCTTTAGGCCTTTATTCCTCTTTTAATTATGTAAATGTTTGGGAAATTCATGTATACAGATCAATGAATTAAATCTTTGTTATTAAATATAACAATTTTATATTCTTAAATTTATTTCACATTAGGCATTCACTTAAATATCAATGACTTTATGTTTATAATAAAGCATCTGATATTGAAATCTTAACAGTTTTTAGTGGCAAGTTACTCTACGATAGATTATCATACCAGAAATATTTTACAAAAATCAATGAAAAACACAAATAAGTAAATGGTTAAAACTGTTCAGAGGATTTGATGCTTACGTAATGACAGTGAATCTCCCACAAAAAAATTGAATCTATTAAATGATAAGCTCTTCCTAAGTAGTTTGTTGTTAAAATTTCACTCTTCCTGCCTCCCTGGTGGCACAGCATGTTACAGCACTAAGAAGCTAAAGCCATTTCGGCATGAGTTCGAACCCTGCCCAGCTGGAGGTGACTACCTGGTGCAGCAGACCTCTCCTGATCTGCCCACTACTCCCCTCAGCAGTGTACTTCATCCATCTGCCTGTTTTGCTTCCCACTCTGTCTCTGGTGAATCCTCTCACCATCCCTGTACCTCTGGCCTTACCCCAGTTCTGTATGCATAAGTAAATAAATCTTTAAAAAAAATTTCTCTTTTCCTGAGTATTGTTAAATAATAAGGATGAGGCCATGGAAAAACAATACAACTGTAAGACTTAAGAACTGAAACTTTTTAAACATGTAATTCTAAAAGAGAAAAAAATAATGCTTATTCTAGGAGAAACTAACACCACATTAAAAAAACACACAAAAACATGTAACAAATTCTAATATTTTAAGTGCTATTTAGGTTAGTACTTAATTATTTGAGTGGAACCTCAATATAAAACTTTAATTTTAAGCATGGACCACATTTTTTCCCCAAAGGAAAAAGAAATTACTTGAAAGACATTTCTACCTCATAAAGCAAAGCTTACACCCCTATAAAATTTATTAACCATTGATTAATCAGATCATGAGCACCAAGCTATTAGGTTTCTCTTGGAACAGGCACAAGACCAAGCAAGATTTCTGTATCTCCAAGACTAACTAGTTCAATGCCTTAAGCAAAGTCTCAGGTTATTAGGTGG